GTATCTGTGATAAAAATTTGAGCTCGATCGGACCATTTTTTCGGGGGGTTGTAATGTGACTGGATGAAAACTGGGTTTTTCCAGAAAACCTATATAAGAACATCTCAGAAAGTTCTGGGTAAAAATACATCGATTTTCTTTTTCGATGTTCTATCTCTGGTATAAATTGGAGCTCGACTGGACGTGTGCTCCGCATTTGGCTACAAAGTGAAAAAAGAGGGGGGTACCCTTAAATAGTTTTAGCATATCATTCAGATAAATATGATGATATGTTTTGAATGAACTATTTCGGATCGCTACTTTTACTCAAGTATTATCAATTTAATTAAAAAGAATACTAGCTTCTAAAGGTTTTAATAAAAAAAATCTATGGACTATGTGAAGCTTATTCGTATATCTTATACCATTATTACATACAACGCGCAGAAAGTTAAACCCAACATTTAGTTAATAATCTTGATAGTGTGTGTAGAAATAGTATTTTGCTTTATTTAGAGAAAGATTTGAAGTATAACAGTGACAATAGCAAAATAATAGCTAAAAAATTCGCATGTGTTTCGTCCAGTTCAGGTTATCCATTCTCCTAGAAAATATCAAGTATAAAAGTGCTACGATCATAATGCATCAATTTATGAAAATTTGTTTTAAGACTAAGATGAATCGAATGGCAAACATTTTATATGAGCTAACGGACATAAATAATAGGTCATGAATAACAACAGTAATGAGCAGTTTTTTATTGTAATAATAAAGTGCGATGATCGATGTTGATCTAAGATAGAACAACGATACAATAATCATTCATCGGTTGGCTTGAAGTAACATAATATTTTTGAGCGAAAAAAAGTAAAATCAATGGTGCACTTTTTTCTATTTTGTACTATGTACCAACTACAATTTGTTCATCTGACGCTCTTTAATTTATTGTTAAAGACATGTACAATTCATTTTTTAATATTTTCTTGTCTACTAAAAAATTCTTCATTTTCATTGATTGTCTTCTTTCTTAATGAATGCCGTTCAATCGTATTTTTTTTCGGAGATAATTGTCCCTGTATAGAATAATCTGATAACATATCTAATGGTGTTGATGGTGGTTGTTTTGGACTTGGACGTTGTAATACACTATCGATATGTTGCCATATGTTAAATTTCGTCCATTGATCAGATGATGATGAATAGGGTGTTATTGTATTCATCGATGAAGATGTTGGTGTTCTCAAGTATTCGTATTCATCATCATCATCTTCTCCTTGAATAGATTCCTCAAATAATTGTGAATCTGTTACTTGATTTTGTATACGTTTATGATAAGTTTCATTTGATAAATAATTCAAAGGAGTTGTTTTTCGAGTTTTCAGTGATAAACTTGAACTTAAAATGGCTAAACCACGAGTTGATACATGTGTTCGATCTTTTATTAATTTTTTCTTTTCTAAATTTATATGTTGTCGTGTTTCAATTTCGACCATTGAACGTGTTTTTAATTTTGATAATGGATGTAAGTAGAGACGACGTGTTAAAATATGAGATACATTCGGTGATAAAGATGTTTTACTAGTAGATGAACGAATATTTGTTATATTTTCACAAATTTCTAATAATGTGAATGTTTTAGGTTTTACTGTTCGAGTTGTCATCATTTCTTTTTCTGTAGTCAAATGTAATCACTTTTTAATAGTATGTCCTTAGCACTTAATTAGCTTAGTTAAAGTTGTGAAGAAAATGATTTAAATCGGATGTAATCAAGCGATTTTTTTCAGTTGTTTTTTTTCTTCTTCTTCTCACAATTCAAAGTATTTTTCATGCCATCTCAACTTTTTTTCTTTTTTATTGATTTTATTTTCGAAAACAAATGGTATGAACTTTCAATTATGAAGTCATTTTTTTTTTTTTTTGTTTATACTAATAATCATTTTTCAATAGAGAAGAATCAAAAAAAATACGAAAAGGGCATATAATAAAAGGAAAAGGAGCAAAACCAAAAAACGGGACAAATGTAGTTCTCTCATTTGTTTGACTGTGAACAATGTCAATATAGTACATCGCACTAATAATACCATCAAGAATAATTAGATCAATGGGTATGATTCCAATAATAAATGCAAATCAAAAAAAAAATTCTTTATTAATACACGGTACGATTTCGCTATTTCTCATATATTTTTTATTGATACTTCAAGTGAACGAGACTATTTATTAATTCATTGAATTTCATCACAATAAAAATTGATCTTTCGCTTTCGTTAGACTGTTGTAAAATTAAACATAAAATTATAAAACTAAAAAATAGCGATAGTATTATATTCATCAAATAAAAGATATTAATTACCATTTCTCTCTCATTTATACAGCAGCAAATTTAATTTTTCAATTTTATAATATTAACAGTGCAGACTATTTAAAACGCAAAGCAAATAGATCACGTACTAATGTGAGAATAGTCATCAATCTTAGCTGTGTTACTATTGTTACAACTGAAAATAAAAAACGGTGTAAAATTAGTAAGAAAATCAAATTGCTTCGAAATAATGTAAACGAAAAGAAATCGTCAGATATATGCTGATGATGATTTAGATGCTAATTCAAATTTCATAACAGAATCACCAGTAGATACGAGTGACCTTTATAAGCGCTCTGTATTATTTTTCATGCATAAATGTTGGCAGAAAATATAAATTTGCGTGATCAAGGATGCTTTATTACCAATCATTAGCGGAGATATACTGCTTCGTTTCATCAAAACGTTATATACTACTCTTTCCACCAACTGTGGACGTATATTTCTAAAAAAGCAAATCACATCAGATTAGTCACATTTTTCTGATATATATACTATATATATATATATACCTCGACTTTTTCTACATAAAATAAACATAATCTATATCGATCAGTTAAGTTGTTAGAATGCGCAATAGGCGTCTTACATAAGAAAGTTGGTCCAGGCTAACTTCTACGTCAGTACATATAGTGTTCTAAAACTCAGGGTATAGAGATTTCACGATCTCCTCTTTCTTTTTGTCGCTAGAAACTTTTCTCCAAAACCTCTGGAAGCAGGACTTCCAGAAAACCGTGGTTTTGGCGTATCGGAGTTAGATGGAATGACTTTTAAAAATCACCGTTAAGAGATGGAACATTCTGAAGCTGATATTTGGATTGTAATGTTGAAAGACGAATATTTTGAAAAAAAATTATGTTTCCAAGTCGAACTTTCAATTTTTGACTTTAATTTAAAATTTAATAAATTCAACTTTTTCTAAAATTGAAATAACTCATCTCGGAAAAGAGATGGAAACTTGGTTCAAACGCCATTTGATAGAGCATTAAAAACTAAACAAACGTAGGGGTTTGACAATGCTTATGCGTTATGTGACTTTGGCTTCTATGCTTTTTTGTAAATTAGAGGGGGAAAAGTCGGAATTCTGCTCGTATTTCTCAATTTTCTCCCATAGAACTCAACTTCTATGCAATACAAATATCCTATTCGGGATCACAGCCAAAAATCGAATCGACTGATATGTATTTCGAGATTTTTATTTGGTTTTCAGTTTTTTGGTGAGAACTTCGATGATTTTTCAACGTGAAAATTTAAAAACATTTAAAGTACTTAGATAGGATAGAGATACATATCAGTCGATTCCATCCCAAGTTGTACTAGTCCTGTTACTCTCGAACAATCCGGATAAAGTCGATATAAACGTGGTACGTTTCCGAAAGAATCACCCCTTTATAGGATAACGCGTGCATAATATTAATAATATTCTCACTTAAAAAGTTTTGATTCTTCTATTCATTAGAGGCTCGTAAAAATATTTAATATTAAACTGTATAGCTGAAGGATGGCGCTGGCGTGCATTATGTTGAGTTCGGTGAAGGCTGTGTTGATTTTTGATTGGACATAAGTGTAAAGAAAGAAACAAAGATTGATGAAAAATGGTAGCACTGCTCTTCATAGAAATCTTTGAGCATTCCGTGGAGTATGGCAGATAAAGTTTTACTGGATACTTTTGCGAAAAATGTTATTACTTTTTTCCGATTGTTTGGTTACGGTACGTTTTGTGGCCGTTACATAGCGTAGTTGTAAGAAGCAACCAAATTTCTATCAAGTATTGTGGTGAAATTTCTGCATGTCCTGTATATCTACCTATACATTAAATTATATTTATTCGAAGATTATAGAGAATATCTAACGGGAGAACCGTCCCGCGTGATCTACCCCGTTTTCAGTCATATTTTGCTGATATGTAGAGCCTATTGCCCTGAGAAAAAGCCTAAAAGGATTTGGGGCCCATGTTACTTCCTTCAAGAGTTATTGAATTTTTTGGTTTCGACGAGAAGGGCGAACGCTAACATTAAATTTTTTATGACTCTGTCAAAACAGCAGGTTAAGAGCTCAAATTTTTTTCTTAGC